GCCATATATATATATATATTAAGCATCATTTATTATCTTGTATCACATAACACATTCTCACACAAGCAACAATGAATTGACCCCAAGTTTGTTAAGATCATTGTCCAATAGGTCAAGCCTTATCCGCTTTCAAGTAAAGAATTAAATCGGTCACGTCCATACAGGCACTCAAAGGCAAATTATAGCAATTGTTTTATCCCATGCAGCTCGGTAGCTTCTCCTGCATTATATGATTTAGTAGCTTGTAAGAAAGGGTCTCAGACTTTTCGTATCATTGCCGTTGAAGGACCAAACTCTAATACTTTGATTTTCTTAGATCTTATGTTATCTCAAGTGCATGTAGGAATCATCTTACATGAGGCCTCAAACTCAAAATTTTATGGAAGGCCGTTTACATACATAGCCCCCAGGTTCTATGTATTTATATATCTAATACCTTGACTTTGCTTTTTATATTTATGCCATCAAAATCTTTTCATATCACATGAAAATTGTCATCATTTTAATTTTGCTAGGTGAAATGCATCTTTTTTATGGAAAATAAGGTGATATATATGTAAAAATTAAAGTTTAGATATGTAAATTGGTAGGAATTGAATGGTATGTATCTTTTATACTACAATGTCAACCTGTGTTGTATGAGAAAATTTTACATGCAGACTTTGGATGTCCGGACAACGGCCTGAATGCAACGAGGAGGGCGGAGGTCATATTCCCCCACTCCTCCACTACATCCGGGCCGTTGTCCAAAATCCGAATGTAAAATTTTTTCATGTTGCATAGCCTGGATTTGATTTGACATATTTGCACAACTGCAACGCGTCTCTGAAATACTTCTCTTCGTGCAAGCATCATTGTTTAAGGCAAAAATTAATTTTTAAATTATTAATTTGAATTATATATATAATTATTTATTTTTCAAAAAAAAAAAAATTTTTTAAACTTCAACTTTCAACCCTACATAAGACTTCCTATTTTAACAATTTTATCAAATTTTTACATGAATTATTTTTATTATGAATTACTAAAAAAATATTTAAAATTTATGCTTAAAAAAGTCATCTAATTGATATTTGCGTTGAAAACACAAAATTTAATAACAATTTACTGATGAAATTCTGATAAAAATTTGACAATAATTCGAAAGTCATACTAAATTGGCTTCACAAACACACAGGAATTCTGTACACAAGCACTAATTCTAAGCGCTGAAGGCAATTCTTAGAAGGGTAATAATTCATATAACATCAAAGAATTCGGTCCAATAAGACACCAAATCTCTATGTTCTAGGATTTTCCTCATGAACTTCAATATTAATCACAACTGATCTCCCATCAGTATCTTCCAATTCTCTTGGTATATCAGGAGCACTGAATTCAAGATCATAGTTTCTCTGATTATCCAGTTCTAGGTTTTCAAGAACAGCAAAAAATTGCCATTCCTGATCTCCATGATTTACAGAATCAGGAGCAACTTTTCCCGCTGGAATTAGTGAGACTCTGCAGAGAGGGCAGGTGGTGTTTTTGGCAAACCAATGGTCGATACAATCCACATGGAAGGTGTGCCCACAGTAAGGTAACCTTTGAAGCCGTTCATCTGCTTGGTAATCCCCCAAGCACACAGAACATCTGGAAGATGAAATTTCTTTAGTTTCTGAATAAGAAAATGCAGAAGATGAAATCAAACGGTTTTAATTCCACCATGCTCTGAAAACTGGAGTTTTGAGGAAACTGGTTTTAAAAAAAGTAGCAGCAGTTTATTTCAGTTTGATTTTTAATCCCATCCCACACATTTTGGGCACACATACAGTGCCATCCCTAAAACCAAAAGGGAAACTTATAGGATGAGAGAAGAAAAAGAGTTAAAGTGGCTCTGCGATAAAAGGAGATGGTTGTCTCTTCGAGGTCAAGAGTTTGAGCAGAAATGCTTTGTGTATCGTCTCACTCAACCGCTTAAAAAAAAAATAATAAAAAAAGAAAAATCTGAATTTTCAATTTTCATGGTCTAATCTAAAAGGGACGAATATATGGCACCCAAGGGATGCAAATTAAACTTCTAGGTGCTTAACACCACCATCACAAGTTTTATTCTAATTATGTATAGGAAGAGAAATGGAGAGCACATTTTGTACACAAACAATTGAAATAACATCTGACAAATTTTTCTTTTTTTTTTGTTTGCAATTAATAAACAATAAGGGTTTTGTTTGAGATTACTTTTGTTTGTTGTTTTTTGTTGTGTGTTTGGTTAGTACATTTTTTGTATGATTAAGTTTTCTATTTAAAAAAAAAGAATTAACTTGCTTTTAAAACACTCAAAACAGCCAAAAAATTTTTATTTTAAAAAAACTAAGCAAATTATATCCTACCAAACATATTCTATTTTTAGGAATAATTACATATAGACCATCCGAAACATTGATATTCACAAATTAACCACCCAAGTGATTTATTTGAACTACCAAACCGATATATTTATGCGTGCAATGATCAAACTATTGAGAATTTGATAAAAATGAAAAATATGTGTTGGAGTTTTATCAAGGATTTTTGTATTTGAGCTAGAATTAGAAAATGGATGAAAGAGGGTGGATGTATAAATAGCAAGTTTTGTGTACGTAAATGTCCTTTATTTTAAACGAAAACATAAACAAAGCAAAATAAATATTAAAAAAAATGAAAATCAAAAGTGCTTTCCCTAAGACAAACAATGGTGAGAAACTTTCATGTATTTCAATCTCGCAGTATCAATAACACCGAAGAAAAACGAGAGCATATACGATCAGGCATGAAATACCCATGCTTGAGAAGTTGAAACGACAGTGAACTGGTCATATAACATGCTAACATGAGTGCTGATAGCCAGTTTCAGAGATTGAATATCTCATGAGCAGTTAAACTTAAATTTATATATGGAACAAAAAATGGCAGTCTGTGTAGCACAATATCTGAAGAATCAAACTTATAGCAATTTGGGGCAATAGTTTATTGAGGTTTCCAATGGAATTGAAATAATTACCTTGCTATTGCATTTTATTGTTGTTGCTCCCTCACTGATGGGTAGTGAGATTTTTACCCTCTACTTAGAATATCATAATTCACATCGCTAATTCCATTCACTGATTAATGTGCAAATTAATTTCCTTATAATCTGGGTTTAATCTGATTAATATGCCCATTAATGCTGGTTTTGAACCTGAATTGATATTGAATTATGTTAATTGGGCTAATAATATGCTTCGCACACTTTACATAGTGTCAATGAATATGTTCTAGTTGAAGGAAACCCTAACGTGATATATGAAATAAAGCTGATTGATATCAGGATGAGGCTTAAATTTCAGATAAGGCGAAGGGAAACTTTATAAAGACAAAAAACAGGCTGTAATGATCCCCATGCATTCCTTCTTATGGATGATTTGGTTATTAAAACATGTTTTAGAAAAACTAAGATTTCCTTTAACTCATTTCTTGTCTGAGAACGAAATAATAAAGGGGATTTGCAGAGTTCAAAATAAAGGTTGTTTTCTACCAACATCAAAACAAATAATGGACCTAGCAAATTTCTATCAATTTTCCAAAAGTAAATGAGCCCTCAGCATACATTTGTGTTGGGGGCTATTAAGGTTTCCCCAAATACATATTTTTGCTCATTGATACATCCATGCAAGAGCACTCAAGTTTATTTACCATGTCAAATGCTTAAGGCAACAATTCTCCCTCAAGTGTGAAAACTTGAATTTTGAGCCCTTCCTCATGGGAATTGTGCTAGTTCACTGGCTAATAAATTACCAAAATTGAGGATAAGAGAGGAGCTTTAAAAAGAAAAGAATAAACAAGAAAACTAGATGACAAGATAAAATTTATGAAATCTTTTTCTTTGATCAGATCTCAAGAAGATAACGGAAGTGTAAGAGGAATAAGGATAGAGAACTAAGAGTTACTTTTCCGCGTTGACGCCAGTTGCTAAATTTAAAGTATTTTGTTAACAATCTCAAAATGTTTGTGGTGGTATTCCTTGGATGAGTATCTGTCCACTTGAGAAACAGTTACAAATTGGATGGGAAATATGTCCATATCCTTTGAAGAAAAGTCCCTACTACTATCCCCTCATGTGAGGCGTGTCCCTGATACCATCCTCTCCCCAACCAACCAACACATCATCATTTGTGTTAGCATATGATGATTATCAAGAAATAATGTTAGAAAATCATTATATTAAAAGAGTATATATTTCGGAATAATATACTTAATCTCCCTTAACTATTATTCTCTAATTTAACATTCTTTGTATTCAGTCTTGTAAGTTTTAAACAGAAATCATTGTTCAATAAGTAAAATCATCCAATTTTATACCCATAACAGTGAATTAGAGCTTGTATTCAACCCTCCAGGGCTTTCATTGCTATCCCCAAAATTTGTTCCACCCTAGCTCTCCTTCGCACCCCAAACTGGTGTCCTTGCACATTGTTTGGACGATCTAAAGCATTGCTCTCCTTTGCTTGACTCATCCTATAATCTGCTACGCAGCTCCTAAGCCACACATACAAGGCTTCCCCAGCAAATGAGCTTGCCCTGCACCCTTGCTTGCCTTCTTGTTCATTTTTCACCCATCACACCTTCCATGAACTCTACACTCCTTTTGTCGCTGCACACAACATGATCGCAAAAATGCTTGTTTCGCATCTTGCTCGTGATCCCACTTGCCTCACTACATCCTGACTTGCAGCTCTAGGCACTCGACTCTCTTATCAACTCAATATTTCCCATTATTTTATGAAATGCCTTCTTGAAATTCAATATCCGTGTCACATGAATCAGTGCTTTGCCTGGCACTGTGCTCTTTAACAACTATGCAGGCTCGTTCACTCTTTTGCACCTACATAGGCTCATTTGCTTTCTTGTCTCACACCCCGCCCCATTATTGTGCTACCATGCCTGCGGCTGAAGCTGCATTCTGCTTGTGTCAAATGTAACCTCTATCGATTATTGATATCCAGCTTAATAACATGAGTTCCCTTATTCTTCCGCATTCTACCCTGCCTCCAACCTTAGCCAATGCATAAACATAATATTGTGGCCAGATGAGTCAAAATCTGAATTCTTCATCTTCATGATTTAAATTTCTCCTTGATTCTGTGTCTCTCTCATGCTATCATGATTTCTATCTCTTCACTACTTGAAATAGTTTTCTATTACTATCAGTACCACCATGGAATTAGATGGTCATCCTCATAAAAGTCATTACCTCATGTTTGTATCTAAATGATTTTAAGAAAAGTATGATTAGCCTTTCACCGTCCATAATGTATCCACAGATAACTTCGGGTATTTGCCTTCACCTAGATCTCGCTTTAATACTACCCCTTGATATAGAAAATCAATTGCCTCGACAATACTGTCGGCCGTTTTTTTTTTTTAACCTTCGTGATTTGAAAAAGTGAATGATTTTGTGATTTTAAAAATAATTTAAATACAACCCTTTTATATTTTTAAAAGTAACATTTTGATTTTAAAAATAGATGAGACCAAACGGGCCTCATATTTTAAATAGTTTAGATGATTGAATACAATACTACAAGTAATACACTTATCCCGAAGAATAAATATATCGCTTGTAATGAGGATTCAATCATCTAGACTAAAGAATTTGTGACATCCGTTTTGGTCTGCAAAATATTTTATAAGAAGACCAACAAGTTCCCCTAGCTAACATAAAAAATTAGATAGGGTTTATTTTATCTGGTTCCTGGTTCCCTATAAAGGCAAGCCCCTATAGCAAACCCCTATAGTTAATTACATCTTAAATGACTGGAGGTCATTTAAGAAAACTATCGATTAAGATCAGGTGGTTTTGCTTTCAAGATTTCATAATTTAGGTTTTCACGATTGGACATAGCAAAATCAAATGGGAATGACTCAAAATAGGAACAATTATTTAAGGAATCCAAAGGGAAAAAAGTAAGTGATATCACAAATCCAGGAGAAACCCCGGAGATGTCCCAACTATCCTATTGTTCGGCTTTATGTCTTTGAAGTGATGATTATTTGATATTTCAATCCTGCACATTATTTAGGATTTAGGACTTATATTTACACAATATCGGACTGTGCAAATAACCTATAAAGATAGGAGGATTTACACCGTACCGCACGGTAACCTCGGAATCCTAAAGCGTTAGGACTTATAATTGTACAACAGAGTTGTGCAGAAAGCCTAGAGAATGATTCTATGGGTTGTTATTTAAACTAAGGAAAGTGATAGGTGATGTGAAAATGTTTATGTGATGAGAAGATGTTTTGCTGCTGCAGATCCACCTGAAAGTTGTTCCTCGTTGCGCTGCCCATGCTGTTCGCTCCAAACTTCTCGTAATAGCACCTCCTGGTTTAGTTTTAGTTTTGAAAATGCTCATAACCACTAGATTATCCTAAACTAAGACATAGTGTATCAAAGTGACTAAGCATGCAGTGTGAAAGAAAAGTAACAATGCACTGTACATTAAAGAGAAAAGACAATATAACATACTGAAAGAAGAGCATAATGTGCTATAAAGAGTAGCATAACATGCTGGGGAAGCAGTATAATAGACTATGAAAACAATATAACATGCTTTAAAATATTTTATTTTAAAGCATGTTATATTGTTTTCATAGTTTGGAGTGAACAGCATGGGCAGCGCAACGAGGAACAACTTTCAGGTGGATCTGCAGCAGCAAAACATCTTCTCATCACATAAACATTTTCACATCATCCATCACTTTCCTTAGTTTAAATAACAACCCATAGAATCACTCTCTAGGCTTTCTGCACAACTCTGTTGTACAATTATAAGTCCTAACGCTTTAGGATTCCGAGGTTACCGTGCGGTACGGTGTAAATCCTCCTATCTTTATAGGTTATTTGCACAGTCCGATATTGTGTAAATATAAGTCCTAAATCCTAAATAATGTGCAGGATTGAAATATCAAATAATCATCACTTCAAAGACATAAAGCCGAACAATAGGATAGTTGGGACATCTCCGGGGTTTCTCCTGGATCTGTGATATCACTTACTTTTTTCCCTTTGGATTCCTTAAATAATTGTTCCTATTTTGAGTCATTACTATTTGATTTTTCCATGTCCAACCGTGAAAACCTAAACTTTGAAATCTTGAAAGCAAAATCACCTGATCTTAATCGAGAATTTTCTTAAGTGATTTATTTTCTTAATTCTTAAGTGATTTCGATCATTTAAGATGTAATTAACTATAGGGGTTTGCCTCTATAGAGAACCAGAAACCCAGATAAAATAAACCCTATCTAACTCTCAACAGATTCAGAAACATGGGAAGAGGACCAAGGACTTGTTGGCCTTTTTATAAAAATATTTCGCAGACTAAAACGAATGTCACAAATTCTTTAGTTTAGGTGATTGAATCCTTATTACAAGTGATATATTTATTATTCGGGATAAGTGTATTATTTGTAGCATTGTATTCAATCATCTAAACTATTTAAAATGTGAGACCCGTTTGGTCTCACCTATTTTAAAATTAAAATGTCACTTTTAAAAATCAAAAAGGTTATATTTATATTTAAATTATTTTTTTAAAATCTCAAAATCATCACTTTTTTTCAAAACACAAAAAAAAAAACGGCCGACAAAGCATTACATTTTGGGGAAACATGGGAGAGTTAGCTTCTCGGTTATAAAAAAACAAAAATTAAAAATTAATTAAGGCACAAAATGATGGGAAATTTTAGGTAATTATATGGACCACATTCCTGTTACACATTCTACCCTAATGACATGTATCATTACGATATTCACTGCAACAAGCCAACTAAATGAGAGGTATAAAAAATCCAATGGAAGATGCACATTTGGGTTCAATGACACGACTTTATTATACAATATTTATGTTAGAGAAGTGTCTCATATAAATTTAGTTTAAGTAGTATATTTTTGGGCATGCTGAGATTATGTGGTGCAAAATTATTTGAGGCTTGGGAAGCTTAGGGTGGTCCGCTTGGAAGGAACAAATAAAGGAGATCCGATTGTGCCATAGTTTTAAATCAATAAGGGAAATAATGAAACAAATGCAATGTGTGTTTATTTTTCAGCTTTCACACATTGCCCAAAAAAAGACAATTTTTATTGCATATGATCTATTTATTATTGATTGGAATATGTTGGATTTTGACAAACTAAACTGCCACAATCTTATCAATTAAGGAGATAGCATTAGAAAATGCAGCTAATTGGAATTAGAAATCCCATATCGTGGCTTGAACTGCACATTGGGGTGCATTCATAATTTTTTTGGGAACATAGATTTTGGAATATGTATGTTACCTTGGGTGGCGTGTACTAAAAGCTCCATAAACAATAATATATTGAAGAATGGTTCTCTTGGAAAATTTTAAGAAAAAAACTCTCTTGTTACTTGCAAACACCCTCAATGACAAGAATTCTAGAGGATTGTCATCTGCACCTATGCCAAAAGAATATTTATTATGAGGTAATCTCTTGGTATGAGGTTTTAAAATACTTATTATTATTGTTTGTTGTGCATGAGTACACTTGGGAATTGACAATTGATAGTGAGTGCTCATTATTTCTTCACTACAACTCACTTCTTTATTAGTGGATTGAATCCTCTCTTCTTAGCCATGGACATAAACTTGGCTCAAATTGAACAACAAAAATCTTGGTAGTCTCTGTACTGTGTTTCCTTCTGTTCTGTGATAGTTTTATGGCATATTGATCCTAATCACGCTGAGGCTTCTGCATCATCTTTTGGCTAACCCACATTATAAAGAATGTGATGGTAGCATTTCAAGTAACAAAAAACATTCCTCTTAGATGTTAAGCAAAGTGATAACAATTGTTTAAATTGCTATTCCGTGGTCTACGTTTTCTAAAATGATGTTAGAGGTAAATTAAAAAATAATTTTTATTGATAATGCCAACATGAATTGTTGATAGAAAACTCATTGTGTTTGATAGGCAATAAATTATTTCTTAAATCAAGATATGTTGTTGTTAGCATGACAAATTGTTTCAATTATTTTATTAAAGTTTACTAAACTACAAGATGAAACTGATATTATAGCAACCCTAGATAAGTCACAACCATATTTTCCAAAGTTTTGGAAAGCACCTCTAGAATTCAAGCATTTTATTTAACTGTCTCGATCATTTACTAGCAGCCAAATAGTTAATTTAGTAAGACATGTATAGGGCAGTTATGCTAATTATGTTTTAGTGTTGGACTTTAGGAAAGTTTTACAATAGACACGAGAAGCATCACTTTGTGCATGAAAAAGCTGTTATTTCTATTTTAGATTCTATCTTTAGTAAAGTATTTGAATGCAGTTAAAAAAAAATTATTGATAATTAGTTTGCCTGCAGAAAACATGGAACATGATAACAACTTTTGACTATAATAGAAATTGAGAATTTTGCATGGTAGGCCTCCTTATTAAAAAAGAATGACCTAAACTTGAGTTGAAAGCTACTTTTGTGTTCATCAGTACACATTAAATTTTCTGACTGATCAACATTATTCTTTTTTAAAGCTTAAATATTCAGCAAACAGACACAAGACATTCCTAAGCCTAAGCTTGAATTTCTTAGGACACTTAAGAATGTTAAAACAAACTGAATAACAACACAAATCTATCCAAACAATAAACAGCACAAAAAAAAACTTAACAAAGGAAGCTTAGCAAACTAAACTAATCAAAGAAACTTTTTTACATAAATGCAGTAATTTGCCAGTGAAAGAAGAGACTTTTATGTAAAAGTGTCAAAATAACATTAATTTAAAGAAACAAGTAACATTTACGAGATCAAATTTACAATAACAAAAAGTATAATAAGCCAGAAATCAAATTTGATATAAAATGGCACAAAACTTAATCTAAAAATGTTATCATATTTGCAACTACAAAAACTATCAAAAAGCCAGAAAGCACATCTGATATAACTCATGCAAAACACAGACAGAATCTTATTAGTGACATCATTTGGAAATTAAAAAAAAAATCAAATCCAACAAAAGACAACTCACTGCGTTTCTCTGATCGAGAAACTCTCCTTGAAAACAACCACTGGAAGCATCCCCCTCAGTTCTTTCGTTACGCCAATCTCCGACGGCTAATATTTATGAAAAGGGCGAAGAGAAACATGAGAAAACCTAAAACAATTACTTGTTAGGTGCATACGGCAGTAAAGAGCACAAAGAAACACATACTCTTGGGCGCTCTTCCCTGTTCAAGCTTGTTGTTCTCATCCTAAGAGACTGCCAACTTGATCTCCTCCTTATGTAGAACACGTAGAACAAGAACAGAATGATAAACGTGAATAAAACTGGCACAGAGAAGATGAAAGCCTGGTAGAGCTTCAAATCGGGCGAGAAAGATGAGCAATAGCCAGGAGGATCTGCAGAATGACAAGACATCGCCAAAACCCCCAACAAAACCCAACGAAAACTTCCGATAAAAAGAAACGAATGGGAAATATAATATTCTTCAAGAAAATCAAGGCAAATTGATACAAAAAAAAAACCAATTGAACAAAACCCTAGAAAGCCCCAAAAACTTAGAAATGCAGGCTGCACTGATCAAAAATTAAGAAAGCAAATTCTGTCCGCAAAATGAGAGATGAAATTACAAGATAGACAAATATAAAAGCCTGGGTCTCAAAGAAGAGATGTAATGCTGAGAATCTTCCAGTTTGGTTATCCAAGGAGGAAATTAATCTAGAAAAAAAATGAATCTTTCTTCTTTCTTCTGGTCGGTAACTCCTGCTAGAACAAATATAACTGTTGGGCAGCTCGCTTAATTCTGTTAAGCGTGCTGCCCCTCAATTAAATTAAAAAAATAATAATAATAATAAAAATAGGCCTACTGACATTCATTTTTTTTTTTAGATAAAAGATGAGTTTTTATTGACGCACCTTGTATCTCTGCTTGCGGTGGGCAGACTCAATAATTTCACCTCTAATCCGGTCTCTTTTCCCCACTTTCTTCGTGTGTAAAGTAAGATTTATCAAATCTTATTGTTAGACTGATTAAATGGATTTACTCTGTCATTGCTTCTTCGTCGTGAACCCACAAGATTTCGTGAATTTGATAAATTCTATTTATAGTAAATTTGCATATAAAAGTTGAACTCACTTTTTTCTTATTATTATTTCTATTTTTTTTATTGGAGATTTAATTACATAGCACTTAGAACTATCACACCCTAATTTTAATATTTATATTTAAAGCACCTACTGTCACGGAGTTAGGCTATCTCGTCGAAAGTAAAAGCGGCAATGAATTGCGGCATACGAAGTCCAATAAAACTTTGGCTTCGGCGATGAGGTCGATGAATAAAAACCTAGAAAGCTCTCATTTTTCTCCTGATTTAGTTCAAAGACGTTGGGATCGCGGCGTACAAAGACCTCTGAAACACTCATCATTCTCCTCCTGTACCCCGACAAGATCACGATGTATAAAAACCTCCAAAACTCCCTTCATTCTCTTCTTTTTACTCGGCAGTGAAGGGATCGCGGCGACACTGGCGCTTAAAAAGACATTCAACTCTCATTTTTCTCCTTTTACAAGCTCATAAATCCCCTCATTCCTCTAATTTGCCTTAAATCCCGTGTCTTAACTTCTGCCTTGCGCCTCTCGTTTCTCCTTTGTTTTGTTCTTTGTTCGTCATGAACCCTCCGAACCTAGGCAAGTTTCTCAGAATCGAGCAGTAGGGTCCCAAGCCTCGGATGTGAAAAGTGGAGGGTTGTGTTAGGTTGTTGGCATACAGTGTAAAATTTGTCAAAAAATCATGACATGAATTCTTTAAATCAATGTGTAAATGCTAGGGCGGCTCCTAGATGTGACGCGATATATAACCTGAATAGAGTGAAAAGTGTGCAAGAGCCGCTACACTGGCTCCCCGGTGTAGTGTCAAATAAGCAAGGGTTCCCACATTACAGACGGATGTAGGTAAAGAAGTTATGTCATGAAACCAATATTAGGATAGGATCATGAAATATAGGTACTCACATCGAAATTAATGAAATTAGTTGATATTATGATTCATAGAAAAATAAATAACTTATGTATTCAAGAAACTAAACGGGTTGGACAAATGACTAAGGAGATTGATAACTTGTGTTTTAAACTTTGTTATTCAAGTAAAAGTCGCACTATAAATGATGTAGCTGTAATTATAGATATGAGTTTGAAAGATAAAGTTGTAAAAATTAATAGAATTGGAGATAGAACTATAGCGCTTAAGATTGTTGCTGATGCTAAGATTTTTAATAATATAAGTACTTATGCTTCTCAAATGGGTTTAGATATGGGTTCCAAAAAAAAATTATAGAGTGATCTAGAAGATTTAGCACAAATAATATCTCTTTAAGAAAGAATTTTACTGGAGGAGACTTAAATGGACATGTCGATAATTGGTCGAAGATTTTAGAAATACTCATGGCAGCTACGATTTTAGAGTGATTAGTGAAGAAGATATAATTATATTAGATTTTGTTTTATTGCTAATAATTTATTTAAGCAAAGAAAGGATCATATTATTACTTGTAAGAATGGATCTAATAAAACACAAATTGATTATTTTTTTAATGAGAAGAAGAGATTATTGAGAATGTAAAGATTGTAAGGTCATTCCAAATGAGAATTTAAATTCCCAACATCGAACATTAGTTCTGGATTTTAAGATCGAGAGTTATAAAATAAAGAATACTAGAAAACATTGTCATAGGATTAGATAAGGGCAACTAAAAGACACAAATAAAATTATTTTTATGAGTAAACTTTGAGATTTTAAAATTTAGGATGTTCATGAATAATCAAATTTTATGTGGGATGAAGTAACAAACATTATTAAACAAATGGCAAAAGATGTACTTGGAGAATCAAAAGAAAAAAATGTTCATAAATAAAAATAGCTGGTGGCGGAATAAAAATGTGCAAGAAAAATAAAATATGATAAGTTATGTTATAAAAAATGATTTAAATATAAAAACTTAAAGAACTGAAAAAAATATAAAATGACTCACAGGGAATCTAAGAGAACAATCTGTGCTGCTAAAAATTATGCTTTAAGTGATTAAATACTAAAGAAGATGAAAATATATGTATAAAGTAGCCAAACAAATAAAAAAGAAAAGTAAAGATTTAACAAATAAAGTGTATTAAAGATGAAAATCAAAAGGTGTTTTTCTTAGAAAAATATATTCAACATAGATGGGTGAGAAATTTTAAAAAACTTTTCAATGAAGTTTCTGAAAATATGATCGACCATAGTGACATTAATATCATTAATAATAATTAAATATTTCATTTTTACCGTCATATTAGTGAAAAAGAAGTTGATGAGGATTTAAAGAAAACCAATAATGGAAATTCTATAAGACTTTATAATATCTCAATTGAAGTATGTAAATATTTAAGAGTTTTTAGAGTTTCTTAGCATAATAAACTCTTTAATATTATTTTAAAAATAAAAAAGATGCCTCAGGAATGGAGGAAGAGTATTTTGGTCCCCATTTTTAAGAATAAAGAGGATGCATAAGAGAGTGCAAATTTTAAAAGAATTAAGTTGATGTGCATTCCTTAAAATTATAGGAGGGCAGGTCTACTATGGAAGCTATACATTTATTGAGATGTTTGACAAAGAAGTACGAAGAGAATAAGGAGGATTTATATATGATTTTTATTGATTTAGAAAAATCTTACGATAAGGTTCCAAGAGATATCCTTTGGAGAGTTCTAGAGAAGAAAGGTGATGATATGATTTATATTCAAGTCATTAAAGATATGTATATTAGAGCTATTATTTCTGTTCAAATAGATGGAGGGTTGACCAAATATTTATTTATTTCATTTTGATTACATCAAGGATCAACGTTAAGCCCATATCTTTTTGCTTAATTTTGGATGCTTTTATTGGACATTTACAGGACGTTCTACCTTGGTGTATGCTTTTCACTGATGATACATTCTTGTCGATAAGAGTAGTGAATGAACTTTGAAAAAACTTGAATTAGGAGGTCTTCATTGGATTCTAAGGGTCTGTTTGGGGCAGCTGCAGCTTATCAACTTATCAGCTACAGCTTAGCAGCCCCAGGAGCTGTTGCGGGGAAGCTGGCTGGCTGTTTGTTTCAGCTGATTGAAAGCAGATGTGTGGCAGTTGTTTCTAGACAAAAGAACTTTCTACCTTGTTTAGTAATATTATTTATAAGAGAACTATTATAACCATATATTTGATACTTTATAAGTAGATATTCACTTCAGAACAATAAAAAAATTTAGATACACACCTCACTCTTAACAGTGAATAGCAGGAGTGCAAAATAAAGTAAAAAACTATTAAAATTACAATTAATATAATGATTAGATTGTCCTTAACATGCAAACGGTGTATGTCCTGTGCTACATTATCCTCCAGTGATTGCATCCATTCCCGATCATCGTCGGTAATGGAATCCGCTGGAATGTCTGCCCATTGAACGAAGTCACACAACTCTGTGTTGAACTGCGAGCTTCTGTAGAACTATCTCCTGTAGCTATGAGCCCGACGTGACCTCATTAGGGAAGTTTGCAATCCGCAGTGGCCAAGCAATCATCAGGATGTCCCTGAAATTCTTGACCTCATTTTTTTAATGCTGCAAAAGATAATCCATTAGTGAAGACATGAATTGAATTTGCTAAAAGAAATAATTAAACATGTTTCACTTGGCGCACATGCATATTTGTCTGTAGCAACCCTAACCATCCCGTCCAACTTTTCCCTCAACTTAGGCTCAAGCCCACAAAGTTTAAATATCATCGCAGCGGGCACCACCGACAAGATCATAATATAAACTTTATTTAGTAAATAAAAATGAAATTGATCAAATTAGAGGATATGAAACAAAATCTTATTGCAAGTCTTTCTGTCCATCACTCTTCCGGAACATTAATTATTTGCTTCACCAGATCTCAACCCAAGCCCGTTGATCCTTGCTTTAATTCCTTCTAAAATTTTCAATCCTTCTTGAATTGATTTCATTTGTTCTTCAATTGCATCCAGTCATAATCTCTGCCTGTAGTTTCCTTGAATTTTTTTATAATATTTTGTCACCCCTCCTTATTGAAATATGCAGTTGGCATATTTTCCATGTCAATTTCAATGAGGCAAAGGTCAGAAAAGATTATTTTGGTTTTTTATCTCATAATGCGGGCACACCAACCTCTTTGGTTTCAACCATTTTATTACTATGATAGAAAAAACAAACATGCAAAAATAAGAGCATGTTGAAGCAATCCAACTATATATATCTCTTAAATGTGTTATGAGTAATGAATTATAGTAGCTATGCATATTATTCTTCCACAGAATTTTTCTGGGGCAATCTGATGCAATGATTCACTTCAGATAATGTGTGTGTGATTGAAAAAGTGTTTTTCCTAGCATAAAATTTGAAATTGGTATGCATGATCATGCTCAGGTAGTCCACAACTACATATGTTTCCTAGCAGTAATCATAAAAAATGATGGTACAGATAATATGTTGTCCTTTCTCACAATATTTTCTCATTATATGACTCAAGGGATATCAGTGAATATGCATAATTTGTTGTCATAATAATTTTCTAAGCATGAGTTTTGAAAAATAGGTACTCATGAGCATGCTCACACATACCACATATACCTATGTTTCCTAGAAGTGAGCATAAAAAAGATAACAAACACTGTTTATTGCCCTTTCTTACGATATTTACTCATTTGCATGCTCAAACAGTTCACAACTACAAATGTTTCCCAGCAGTGAGCACAAAACTGATAACAAAGATGGTTTGTTGTCTAT